CAGCGGGCCACGGTAAAATTATCAAAGGCTGACTGGTCCGCGGCGATAAAAAGGTTGGGGACCACTAATCTAGATAATTGCTTGGTTACCTTGTCTTTTCTGAAGATAGATTTGAATTTGCTTGTTTTCTGTACTGCTGTCACCTTTTCTTGATTTTTCACAAACTTTTTTCTGGCCAAGTAGACTTTGATGGGATCCACACCAGTCTGTTTAGGGGGAAAAAAGTATTTAGCTACATTATCTTCCTATCTGGACTTTTTGGATATCTAAATGTCAACCTGACATATAAATAAAGGAGTACTATTTTTTCATGCTAAGACATAAAAAAATAAAGCAGAGGACCTCTAAAACCATATATTGAGACTATAAGAATATCATATGAAATAAAATTTAATTTATTATTAGATAATAAACCATACCAACATCTCTCTGGAAAACACTGAGGAAAGTTAAGATATAATTTTGCAGTATAAAGGTTTGCCAATCAGCTGCTTTTCCTTTGCAATAAACTTCAACAAGCAGACATTATATTTAAGAAGTTTAATGCCATCTTTCAGTAAAAATAGTTTTAGGGTGGACTATGAATAAAAGTATCCCTTTCCCTAAAATAAAACATTAATAAAATATTAAAACCAAAACTTGAAGCAGTGTATAAACACATAGTAGTAATAAAAAAACTTAAGGGAAGTAACAATATATTCACTTCTAAACAAAGACCTGTCAATCTTGTCTCCCTGGAAGATAACTTTGCAAGGAGCCTTCTCATCCACAAGGCCAAAATAAATTTAAAGAACTATGTGTGTGAGTATGCAAATGCACACTTGTGCATATGTGTGCATTTGCATGTGTGCATGTATGTGAATATACAGAAATGATCCAGCCTTTTGTTTCCAGTTTGGATATGTTTCATCTGCATCAAAATTTCTTACCTTTGCGATAACTTTCTCTCTGAATATTTCTGAATTAGCAAAATATAATGGGGAGCAGTAGGTGACAATTTTAATCCCTTCTATTTCTTGAACCTACAAAACAAGAGTGACAAATTTCAATAAGAGAATATTTCATGGGACCAGCAAAACGAGAAGGAAGAAAAAAAAATAGGGAGAAGTTAAACTATACTTTGTCTTTTTAAAATATCAACAATAAAAATATGTATTGCTTTTCAATCACAGGTTAATTAGTGCAGCAAAATAAGGGCTATATGTTTAATGCTGTATATAGTACAGATATATAACCTCTGTAGATCATAATGATGCCATTTCAGGTGTACTACAAAGTCTTTTTCAGATTAAGTCTTTTAGAATTTTTGACATAGAATGAAATTTAGATTTCTCCAAAATAGTTGCTGCGCTCTATTTTTTAATGTGATGAAAAAGGGAAGTTCTTTAAGGCATGAAAAATAGTATCAATTATATTACAGAATTTGATTTAATTAGAATTTTAAATATGACTCACTAAGTGTTTTATCATTTATTCTTGATGAATGTATTTTATTCTCCTTATGTACACTGAGAGCATATGTACAAAGACAAATTCTTTGTGTGTCCAAACACACTTGGCCAATAAAGAATTCTATCCTGTTGTGTTCTGTTTTGTTCTGTTATTATCTTCCCCTTTCTGGTTCCATGGCAATAAAAATAAGGAGCGAACAAAAGAACAGAAGGGTTTTCTAGTTCTGCTCACTTTCTTCCCTTTGCTAAAGGGATAAATAAAATAAAATCTCATCCTATGCCATTAAACAATCCAGGCTTCAAATGAAGACTCCTCTTTGAAAGGATTGCTTATTTTCTCTATTTTTGGTTCACATACATCTGCTATAACTGAGAATACACTTCAGCAATATGTGTTATGTATGTAGGATTATTAGGGAGAAATGACTGATTTACGATGGAACAGTGGTCTCCAACCTTGGCAACTTTAAGCCTGGTGGACTTCAAATCCCAGAATTCCCCAGCCAGCAGAGTTGCCAAGGTTGGAGATCACTGTGATAGAACACAATGGTGGATGGCACAAGAAGCAGCCACAACTTAGGCTCCATTGCTCTGGCAGCTCCTGGAAGCTGTCCACTGATACCATAATGTCACTATAGTCAGTGGTGGGTTTCAATGTATTTTATTACTGGTTCGCTGCATGTGCGGAAGCGTCCGGGGGTGGGGTAGGGTGGGGTGGGCAGAGCTGCCACCACTACCAGTTTCCGCCGCCACCACTACCGGTTCTCCCAATCTGGGGCGAACCAGCAGAAAACCCACCTCTGACTATAGTACATCCAAATCTTTTTTGATTATTTTTTTTTTTAATGAGTGAATGGCTGAATTAAGAATAGGTAAATTAAGAATTAAGGCAGCCCAGAGTAAAAACCATTTCCATTATAACTTTTAAAACTATTTCCAAAATCTCCTATTTTCCCATAATGGCACCAACATTTTGGGTTTGGTAGTCAACAGTGCTTTGGGCAAAAGAAAAAGAGGTTGGACTGGACCTTTGGTATTAAATTATCTAATTGCATTTAAACCATTTGCCTCCAAATGTGATATGGTCTCATGAAGCCTAATATCAGATCATAAATGTCAGAATTATGGGTCCTCCAAATAGTGTGGTTTTATACGGAGACCTCCTTGATTTTTTAATAATCCCAAACTATTCACATGAGGAGCAGAAGAAATCTAAGGATAAAAGCGTTACTTTTTCAATATTGTTGAAATAAGAGCCAGCAGCAATAATGCAGGGGTTGCAGTGGCTCAGTGGCTAAGACGCTGAGCTTGTCAATCAGAAAGGTCAGCAGTTCGGCAGTTTGAATGCCGCGTAACAGAGTGAGCTCCCATTACTTGTCCCAGCTTCTGCCAACCTAGCAGTTCGAAAGCATGTAAAAATGCAAGTAGAAAAATAGGAACCACCTTTAGTGGGAAAGTAACAACGTTCTGTGTGCCTTTGGCATTTAGTCATGCCAGCCACATGACCATGGAGATGACTTTGGACAGCACTGGCTCTTTGGCTTTGAAACGGAGATGAGTACTGCCCCCTAGAGTCAGGAACAACTAGCACATATGTGCAAGCGGAACCTTTACCTTTAGCAATAATGCTGATTCACAGATCATGAAGCTATAATATTGTTTGAGCATTTTGCCTCTCAGTTTCAAAACTATGGCTTCATTGGGATAGGCTGCACATCATATCCAAACAAACAAAAATGTTTTATAATTTAGCATTATATAGAAACCATAATCGCTCAACAAAGTCAAATCACATCAATATGGTATGAAGCTCTTTTGTTGCTTCTATTACCTTGCTGTAGACTTTGGGGTTCTTATATATATCAGTAGAAGCTACAGGGCCGAGGACAGAACCATTGCGACTGGGAAAGAAAATAATGGAGCATGAATGTTAAATTACAGATAGCTAACAGATGCAGTTTACAAGAAATATGCACACAGCAATAAATGCTAAAGAAGAAGGTGATTTTTTTTAACCTGCTAATTATCAAACTATCATTGGTCTGGTTGTAGGAGTTTGAATCCAATGTTATCTTCTGTAGAGTGAAGGAGAAAAGAAAGCTTAGAAAGGACTGTGTCTTTGGTGGCATAAAAGCAAGCAAGCAAGCACATAAATAAATATTTGTAAGGAATTAGCTCTTGTGCATAAAATACTAGAAAAAATCTACAAAATTAACTGGAACTATTTTGAATTCTTTCTCACCCACCCTGGCCTGAGTGATTAATTTTGATGTTGGGAGGTTTCCTTAGTGAAAGAGATGAAGGGTGTGTCTGGGAGCAATGCACTACTAATCATATTCAACTATTCTTCCTTTTTCTTTGTCAGAGATTGTTACCAGGTGATGGGAAAGCTTAGTCCTTCAGAGTAGAAGACAATATTTGCACTCTGTAGGAGTGAAGGAATGAGATGGAGCAAGAATAAGTCAGGATGGGGAAGCAGTCATAATGCAAAGACCTAGATAGATAAACAGGTGAGAACTTTCATCTGATGCAGAGATATATGGAACAAAAGAACCTCATTTCCAGATCTTGTGGAGCAGCAGAAGAGTTTTAGATAGCTCTGACAAAGTGATGAGGAGTGACTTCCAGAGCAATCATGGGGAATTGGCCAATGGAAGACATCTGTTCAAAATACATCTGCTGCATTTATTGGAAATTCTCTAAGTGAATTAGGTGCACTGGTTTTACAATATGCCTATGTGGTTGTTTCTGCAGTTCAATCCTTCTCCCTGCTGCTAATGAACTAAGTGGTCTACAATTTTGGATGTTACCAACCATCCAAAGAGTACTAGATTGGGAATAGTAGAACTGGATTTTCAGAGAAAAGAAAACTTAAATGGTTTTTAGAGAGTTTGATAAAAAAAGGGTGAAGATTGCAGCCACAATGTAACTGAAGCTCCATCCATTTATTTTATATGCATTTGCAATGCAAATGAAAAGCATGTTGAACTTCAGTCACACTATTGTGGCCACCATCTTGATTATTTCTCCCAATACCCAGTGAATTCCTCTGGAAGAAGTGTGAATAAACATGCTGTCTGAAGCATACATTGTTTTCCCCTATGTGAATGCATGATAAAGTTTTATAGATATATTTAGAATACAAAAATACACTGAAATTAAGAATTGAAAATGAAATAGTTATTGTGGAGATAGAAAAGGATGAAATTTCATGGCAGTGGATTATTTATTACACATGGAGCTGGGCATTTATTACAATACTCTTTCATGCAGTGGTAATCACGAAGATACACTTCACAAGTAAATAATCACAGTACTTAATCACAAGTAAATACCAAAATGTCACCAGGTGAGGGCAGACTAATGATAAATAATTATCTTCCTAAATCAATGTTTTTCAAACCTGGCGATTTCAAGATGGGTGGACTTCAACTCCCAGAATTCCCCAGACATTATGCCTAATACAGACAGGGAAGCCAGCATCAGCACTGCCAGCATCGCATGTATACTGTTCACTGTTGTAAATTCCTGCTGCAGAAAAGTTTCTCTCTATTGGTTTGTTTATCTATAGCTGGTGTCCCAAAGGTGCTTTTTCAGGAGGCAACTCGACTTTCTTGTTTTTTCCTTTTGAAGAAGCTTCTTCAGCTTTGACAGGATAGTGGGGAATGGAAGGATTTATACTCCTTGCAGACAGCTGGTCATTTGCATCCTTTTAGAGGGTTGCTGAAGCACCCTCAGGGTCATCTGAGTAGTGCTCCTGGTCCTGTAGTTTGCATTTTTTTTCTCTGGAAATCCATTCCTACTCCCCTATTATTCAAAGGGTGTTCATCCCAAATTGTATAGCTAAAAGTCTGTAGAGGTTCTCAGTTATCCAGGTCATGGTTGTATCAAAGATGAAAAAGAAAAGAAAAAAACAAGGGAGTCCATTTGCCTCCTGAAAAAGCACTACTCAGATGACCCTGAGGGTGCTTCAGCAACCCTCTAAAAGGATGCAAATGACCAGCTGTCTGCAAGGAATATAAATCCTTCCATTCCCCACTATCCTGTCAAGAGCTGAAGAAGCTTCTTGGATAAGACCAGTTCCAGTTATAGCAATAGCAATAGCAGTTAGACTTATATACCGCTTCATAGGGCTTTCAGCCCTCTCTTAGCGGTTTACA